CACTGCATGTGTGTGAATTCCTGTGTCCATCAGGGAGGGTGTTCATGATCCTGGCTCTCTGTCTGGAGGTAAGTGTGTGCCCTTGGTTTTCTTTCTATTCATGGAATGAAGTTACTTGTCTGACTGTACATCAGTGCACGGTTGTCTGTCTATGGATGCTTAGCTTGGGACCTCACTGTCACCTGTAGGTATCATAGAGCATATTGATATGCCTGATTCACAAGCCTGGTCAAAGTTATGTGTCCTTGTTATGAGTATGACCTGGTGTGGTTCTTTGTGTCCCAAAAGGGTGGCCCTCTCCTGCTACTTCTCTTATCTTTCCTTCATGCTGGTCACCAGAGGGTTCCTTCTAAAAAGTGAATGTGACTGTGTTACTCCCTGCTCAAAATCCTACAGGGCTTCCCACTGCCCAAGGTCTAGAATCCCAGCCAAATGCACAGGGAACCAGAAGCCCACCTACTTCACCATCTTCACTTTTAGGCACTAACTCCTCTCCAATTTAATACTCTAGTTACAACTACCTAATTGTAACTCCTTGCACAGTCCCATTTCCTGCCTCTGAGCTCACTTAATTCTGTCCAGTCTGGAATGTCCTTTTCTTCTTCCTTCCTTTTCTTTCTTTCTTTCTTTCTTTCTTCCTTTCCTTCTCTCTCACTCTCTCTCAGTAGGGTCTCTGTAGTCCTGGCTGGCCTTGAACTCCCAGTCCCCTGATCTCTGCCTCCTGAGTAGCTAGGATTACAGGCCTGAGCCACCAGCGCCCAGCATAGAATTTTTGTTTGTTTTTAGAGGTGCTGGGGTTTGAACTCCAGACCTTGTACTTGCTGGGCAGGCTCTTTACCATTTGAGCTATGCTCTCAACTTTTCTTTCTTTCTCTTTTTTTTTTTTTGACTTTGATATAGTTTTCCCTCTGAGAAGCCTTCCAGACTTCCCTTTACTCAGCTGAGTAGGACCCTCCCTGTTCTCCTGCACAGCCTGAATTGTCATTTTTGACTGTTTGTCACTGATTTTCCCCATTACCTTTAAACCGTGCTCTCTAACAGCAGGAACTGTGCTGGAATGGGAAGTTTTGAAGGAACCTGGCCCTCCCATACCTGGGGAAAAGTTTCTTGCACTTTTGGATGGAGTGCCCAGAGTGTCCACCAGAGGGAGTATAAACATCGCTGCAGGACCATCCAGGCCACGTGTGCAAGATAGCTGGTGGGTGGGAGGCGAGGCTTCCATTCTGAACCTGGGAAGCAACTACTAGAAGGACCAGGGACCCACCTTGTTCAATCTTGGAGCAGTGGGACTCAGGAGAGACTCCCCAGTGGATATAAACATCGCTGCAGGACCATCCAGGCCACGTGTGCAAGATAGCTGGTGGGTGGGAGGGAGGCTTCCATTCTGAACCTGGGAAGCAACTACTAGAAAGGACCAGGGACCCACCTTGTTCAATCTTGGAGCAGTGGGACTCAGGAGAGACTCCCCCAGTGGATCCTGGGCCCTACAGATTTCTTTCTGACTTCCCGAATGACTCAGGGGCCATAGCCCTTTGTGTTTACCCTTCTACTGTCTTCTAACCCTCCAACCTTCTTCTTCCATGCCTCATCTACACCCATAACCCACTCATACATAATTATTTACACCTGTCTGAATGGGCTTTTGCACACGCTGTTCCCTTGGCTAGAGATGACCTCACTCTGGTTGCTTTACCAGACTGATTTCTTTCACATACTCACAAGAAACCTCCCTGGGTTTCCAGATGGCCTTGCCCCTAAGTGTGGTAACTGTTTACTGTTCTGCTTTCTGGATAGGACCACCCTATAGGTGACATCAGTAAATATGAGTAAATTGGCCAGGCATGATGGTGCATGCCTGTAATCCTAGCGCTTAGGAGACAGGAAGGAAGATTTCAAATTTGAGGTGTGTGGGCTACTTAGCAAGTTCCAGGCCAACGTGGCATACATAACAAAACCCTGTCTCAAAACAAAACAACCTCACCTCCAAAAAAACAAATGTGCATGAAAATAGTAAATAACTTAGTTCTTTTATGATACAATCCTCAGCACCAATGGGGCTACCTCAGGCCCCTATCTGCACCATGCCCTCCCTAAGCCTGGTTCCCAGTCAGTATTATACTTTCCCATGCTGCTCTGCCAGAAGAATGTGACACAATGGGATGCATGAGACTTTGGGTTCAAATCCTGGCTCTGTTATCTAACTGTATGACCTTGGGCGAGTGTCAGAGCCCCTATGAGTTTTCATTTCCTTTTTGGTAAAATAGTGATAATCTCACTTCACTGCCTCATTGTAAGGATCAAATTAGATGATGCATGCGAAACACACAGCATTAGTCTATTAGGTGTCCTCCTCCCCCAGCATGAACTTGGAAATAAAATTGCCCTCTGAGTCTTAAGCCAGTAAAATCCACGCATCACAGAGGAGAAGAGCCAGGTGGGGGAGTGAATGAGGCGAGAGATGGTTTTGTAAACGACTGAAGAGTTTTGTGAACAGTGCAAACCGCAATCAAGGTGACCCGCCTGTAATCTCAGGGAGGCAGGGCGAGGATGTGATTGAAATTGAGAAAGCAGAAGCCTAATCAATTGCATTGTGCTCTATCTGAAGGGAACAGAAGGTTATATGAAAGTGGGGGGGAACAAGAGAGATTCATCCAGCTGCTCCCAAGGGAGAGAGTTGGTAGACACAGGGAGGCTCTGGTCTCCTGAAGAGCAGTGAGGGGCCTGGTGAACTCCAGATGGTTCACTGCCTTACTGGGCCTTCACTGAAACCACATGGGCATCCAGACAACAGGCACAGCCCCAGAGGCAGATAAGAATATTCTGGTTTCACAAAGACTACACAGACTAAGAGCACTGATTTGAAGGACAGAAGACGTTGTATAAGCCCCTGCTCTACCACTTATGCCATGGACACTTGAAAAGCTGATTTAAGCCGGGCATGGTGATCATGCCTGTAATCCCAGCACTTGGGAGACTGAGGCAGGGGGAGTTTAAGGCCAACCTGGACAAGATCCTGTCTCAAAAAAACAAAATAAGACAACAACCAAAAACAAAAAAAAAGAAGAGACACAAAAAAAAGTTGATTTACTTTACTATGCCTCAGTTTAGACAGAAGACAGAAGAGCTTTCGCTTTCCTAGGTTCCATGAGGATGAAATGGCCATATGCACTTAACAGGGAGCCTGGCTCAGAGTCAACACTCTGTAAATGGTAGTGACTAAGAGAGCTAACAAGTATTGAGCATTTTATTGCTACTTCACAGATGAGCAAACTGAGGCCTGCAGAGATTAATAACTTGCACAAAATCACGTAGTCAGTGAGTGAGGGAGCCAGGATTCACACCAGGCACTACAATGCCAGAGCTGTGCTCTTACCTGCTTACACATCAGCCTATATATCAGGCTTTTGTGAGTTTGGCTAGCTAGAAACTATGGCCCTCACAAAGCCTTGGCCCTTGAGAGTTTGTCTGCAGATCTGAGACTCCCACCCGTATGACAACCTGTCTGAACAGCCATTGGACTCATTCAACAATGGAGCACAGGGAACTCTCAATCTGCATTCTGTCCCTTTTCCTTTAGGCCTCTCAGTTTGGGGGGATTTCTAGGGAATCTTTCTTCAGTAACTAGAGAGGCAGAATATCACACACTCACACTCACACACACACACACACACACACACATAAACAATCACACACAGATATACTCCCTTTCCAAGCAATGAGTGAAAAGACCATGAGCTTTAGCTGTGTCAGATACAGCTGTGTGATCCTGGTATCTCATGTAATTCCTGGGCCTCAGTTTTCTCATCTACCAGTGGGGCTAATCATAGAAATAGGCTCCACATTGCATTAAGTGATGGTGGGAGAAAAAGGATGTAAACACATCTGACATTCAGCAGACACTTAAAAAATGAGCTATTATTATTACCATTATTTCCCCCCAGCCTATTGAACTCTTCCAGGGCAGGGACAGGTCTTACTCATTTTGTGTTCCCAGGGTCCTGCTTAGCAAAAGGCCCATCTCAGAGCCAATACCTAGTAATTGCTTGCCAACTGCAGCCATGATTTCCAGCTCCCAGACTCCTTCCTCATCTATTCCATTAATAAGTAAGAAGGTCAACAAACATTTCCTATAGAGAGAAGTGGGAATCCTTATTTCTTGCTCCCCTTGTTTCCACAGGGAGGCACATCAGCTGCCAGTTTCTTAAAGGAGGACCTCAGAGTGGAACAATTTCTCATGCACAGATGCACTACAGGTTGTTTAGCATTGGGTTCCAGCCAGGAGGAGCTCCCAGTCATCATAACAAACAAAACTACTTCAGAACTGCTCTGTGGGGATAGACTCCCCTAGTGAGATCCAATGAGCTAGACCAATCTCCAGGCCTCTCCCCTGTCCCCTGCTTTCTTCTGCCCTTTTGGGGGAATCTGACAGCCACAGAGGGTCTGCTCTGGTCTTCTCCCATGCCTCAGTTGAGGGAGACCTAAGGTTGTCCCGGATCTCCTATGATGAGTGGTAAAATCTCTTGAAATCAGGCTAAGAATTAGCAAACCCACTGTGCACAGCCCCATCCAGCTATTTTCAGTTGCCTGTCTGTGTGGCCATCTCTCACCTCATTCTGAAGTCACATGGGAATAATCAATGGGACTTTGGGGTGTCCTAAAACTCTACACCTTGGGTACCCTGTAGTAGGTACCCACTCTCTCACCTTCCTTCCTGCTCCCAAAAGCCAAACCTGTTTTGTTTGGCTATTGGAAGCACAAAACCTTCTGAAAGAAGCTCAGCGGGGCTGGAGAGTGGCTCAAGTGGGAGAGTGCCTGTCTAGCAAGCATGCAGTCCTGAGTTCAAACCCCAGTACCACCAAAAAGAAAAAAAAATTATAAAAAAGGATTGGTGGAGTGGCTCAAGTGGTAGAGCACCAGTTGCTTGAGGCCCTGAATTCAAACATTAAAACCACCAAAAAAAAAAAAAAAAAAGAAAGAAAGAAAAGAAAAGAAAAAGGAGGCTCAGGGAGTTTTTTCATGGTTCAAGGATTTGTATCATCATTTTCCTTATTTACATAACCAATAAACACACACTATTCAGAGAGCTGGTGGCCTTCAGCAATACTCCCCCTCAAACTTGGGTCTGGACCTCAGTCCTGGAGCAGAGCATGCAGCCAACAGGAAGGAGTCCAAGACGTTCCCTGAATCTGTAACTTACAGACCCAAGAGAGCCGAGAGGAGGAGACAAATTCTTGGGGCTTGGACCAGAGTAGGGTGATGGGGAGGATAGGAAGGGAAAGGAGATAAAGTGAGGGAAGGAAAATACAATTTTATAAATAACTAGACCAGGTGTGAGCATTTTGGGGCAGTGGAGGAGACAGGCTAGTGGCATGTAGGGACCTAAGTGGAAGGGGAGAAATAGTGGTTGGGGTCAGAATGGGTGAGAGATGAGCTCTGAGCATTCATTTCCTCCATCTGTGAAATGGGCAGGGGGCCCTAGATTTAGATAGTGCTTGGGGGAGTAGGGGAGAGGTGAGCTCCTAGTCTCCATTTGCCCCATCTAGAAAACAAGTAGGTTGCCCAAGATGGTGTCAGAGCCTCTCTAGGACTCTATAGGGTTCTAATCCTGGAAGCTTGGGACCAGAGCCCTGGGGATTGGCAAGGCTTGGGGGCACCCCCAGAGAAGGGGTTAATGCCCAATCCGGCTATGTCTGGTCCCCAGGCTGATACTGTGGTTCTGTGGAGGTGAAATAGTCTTCTAGGAAGGACTGCAGGTACTCGAAGGTGGGCCTCTCCTCTGGGTCCATACGCCAGGTCTGTTCCATGGCCTCGTATAGGGATGCTGGGCAGCCTGGAGGGCATGGCATGTGGTAGCCGTGCTCCACCTGTTCCAACACTTCCCGGTTATTCATGCCTGAGGGGTGGGGCTCCATCAGTCAGGGGGGTCTGGCCCCTACCACAGGAGCAGCACATAAGAAGTCCTTCCCCCCACTCCTCCCACTCTCCACCAACCTGGGTAGGGACTCGGCCCTTGCTGATGAGTTCAGTGAGCAGGATCCCAAAGGACCACACATCTGACTTGATGGTGAATCTGCCAAAGAGGGCAGCCTCTGGGGCTGTCCACTTGATAGGGAACTTGGCCCCTGGAGAAGTTGAAGGAGAAGGCAAAATTAGTGAGGAGGGTCCATGGGAACAGCTGGGTTAAGAGAATGGGATTTAGGATGGAGTACATTGGGCATCCTAAGCATAGAGGTCTCTGGGCACAGACAGCATGGGCCTGGGCCTGGTATCTCGTCAGCACCTACTATGTGTCTAGTACAGTGCTGGACTCTTCCCTAACATTATAGCATATCTCATAAAACTATAACGTGCTAGCATTTCCTGTGTTCAGGCATGCTAGGCAAGCACTCTATCACTGAGTTATACCCCTAACCCTGGCACATTTTAGGTGATATACATGCGTTAACTCATTGAACAAAAACCCAACAAGGTAGATGCTATTATTGCCTCCATCTTGCAGGTGAGGAAAAGTGGGTATCTTGCCTAGCTCACACAGCCTACAAGTGGCTGGGAGTCATGCCAGGCAGTCTGGCTACAGAGTTCACTCTATACACTCCATTGGCTCACGCCTAAGAATTATAGCAGTGCCTGGTACATACTAGGTGCTTGGCAATTATCTATTGACTTGCTGTTGTCTAAATATTTTCACTTTACAGGTCAGAAATGGCAACTCACAGAAGTTGGATGACTTGCCCAAGACACATGACTGGTAAGTGGCTGAACTGGGATTTGAACCCAGAATTATACACATCAGGATGGGAATGTCTGGGATGATTAGGGATGGAGAAGGGTTCCTGAGAATGTGGGGCCCCATGATAGACCCTTGGAATCTATAGGGAGGTAAGGTGAGGCAGGCCACCTTGTTGGGGGTTGTACTCGTTATCCTCAATGAGGCGAGCCAGCCCGAAATCAGCTATCTTGCACACCAGCCGCTCCCCCACCAGGATTTGGCTCCCTCAGGTCTCGGTGGATGTAGTTCATGCGCTCCATGTAGGCCATGCCCTCTGCTACCTGGTGTGGGGAAGCAAGGGTGTGGAGAGATGGAGCTCAAGAGGACTCACAGCGCCACAGCCTGTGTAAGGGAGAGGGACCATTTTCACGCATTACCACTCTCCAGGTGGGATAATTAGGGGTGATCAGAGAGTGGCATTTCCTGCTTCACAGCTGATGTGGTTAGCTCGGCAGCACTTCCAGAGGACGGCTAGGTGTTTGAGGGCATTGGGATTTGTGGGAGGATACCAGGAGGGAGGTCTAGGAGATGAAGGCTGCTGGCCCAGTTTACCTGGGCTGCCATGTCCACCAGTTGGGGCAGTCTCAGGTCCTGGCCCTCGTGGTTCTTGAGGAACTCCAGCAAGCTACCTGGGGAGAGGGAGCCATAAAAATCAACAGCAAGACCCCGCTCCCGGTCATTGTTTTCTAGATAGGCCTTGCCCCTATCCTGAGCCCAGATACATTAGCCTGGCCCTCCTCCTGAGGCTCCCAATCCTGTCATGTGGATCCACCCCCTCTCAGGATCCCGCCAGGATGCCTCAACTCCTCAGTATTTCACCCAGGCTCTGCCAGACTTTGCCCACATCTTGTTAAGTCTTTGTCTGCGTCCCCCTGGGCGCGACCACTTAGACTGCACCCAAGATCCTCCCTCACCCTAGATCCTGCCTTGGTTTTCCCAAACCGGATCCACCCACTGACCAGCACCACCTCACAAACGCTCCGCCCCACTCAGACCCCGCCTCCTCTAACTTGGCCCCTCCCAACTCCTGCACTCCAGGGGTTTCGCGCATTCCAGCACCTACCCTAGGGCTCCGCCCATTGCCCGTAGTCCCCTTAAAGTGGCGGCCCAGCTTAATTTCGCCCCAAATCCCATCCCTTTGATCTAGTCTCCTGACCCCACCCCTCACCGTGGCACATGAACTCGGTCACGATGTAGATGGGTTCCTCCGACACCACCGCGTACAGCTGCACCAGCTTGTCGTGCCGCAGCAGCTTCATGACCTGCGCCTCCTCCAGGAAGGCCTTCGGGGACATGGTGCCCGGCTTCAGCGTCTTCACGGCCACTTTCGTGCTACCGTTCCACGTGCCTGCTCAGCGTCCGCGACTCATCAAGCCCCGCTCCCCACCAGCCCAGGCCCTCGCCCCATCCCCTGGCCCCTGCTCCCGGGACCTCCATACCCAGCCACACATCCCCGAAGCAGCCGGTGCCCAGTCGGCGCTCGAGCGCGATGGAGCTGCGGCTGATCTCCCAAGCATCCTTAGCCAGGCCCAGCGTCTGCGGCTTCATGGTGGTGCAGGGTGCCGTGAGCAGGTAGCACAGCCCATCATTCACCTCTGGGGAGGGCAGGCAGATGGAGGGAGGTCACAGTCAGGCCAGGACACTTCCCCTACTCCAGCCCAGCACCAGACCATCAAGATCTGTTGTAAGTAGAGACGCCAGAGGAGATCACAGACCAGGACAGAAGGCAATTCAGCCAACTGAGCAGGTGAACATGTTGGTGCCCAGGGAGTGAAGTAGCAACCAGAGGGAGGGATGACCCCTGAAAGGATTGGGGTCTTTCAGGATAAGGTAGGATTTTGACAGGTGGAAATGGGGTTGGGGACTAGAGGCTAAGCTGCGGATAGGAGGCCGACTCTCTTCCATGAACCTCATCCTCTGCCTAACCAATTAAGGAGGAAACTCGGGCAGTGATGCTCACTCAACCCCACAGCCAGTCCTGCATCCAGTCAGGCCCATCACCACCTGCTTCTGCTTCCTCACTGATTGATCTGGCCACTATCACCTCTCTTCTGGACAATGACCACCAACTCCTAACAGACCCTCATTCTGCCTTGTCCCCTGGCATCCAAGCTCCACCCACAACCAGTTTCTCACCAAAGCTCAGACCACCCCTGCTCAGGGCCCTGTGATGCTGGCCACCAGCCCTGGTGCCTTGATAGGCTATTTAAGAGAACACAAAAGCTCCATAGAATTTCCACAGACTCAGGCCTTGAGGCAAGAAATTGGCCCAACGCCTGCTCAGACATTAGGGGGCGCTGCAAGGCCATGGGCAGCTCCAGGTCTCAGTTTCCTCTGAATCCCACAGAGCAGGATGCCGGGCTGGGAATCTCCATAGGTGGGTTCCAGTCTTAGCCTGGTCACTCCCACTTTGGGAGACCTTTCCTTTCTCTGGGCCTCAGTCTCCCTGTTGCCACAATGCATCACTGGGTTGGCTCAAGGATCTGAAGCACTGGCTTACCCATGTAGTGCCGTACCAGCTCCTGCACCGTCTCAAACTGAGCCCTTGTGGTAATATAGTAGCCACCTGTGTCCAGCTTGCGGATCTTGTAGTGCTTTACATGATCGCCTCTGGTCTGGTCCCGATCTCGGATGGACAGGGAGTAGGCACCTAAGGGGAAGGATCACTGAGGAGCCACTCTTCTCTCCCTCAGTTTGGGAGCAAAAAAAGAGACCCCAAAGGTTGGGGACCCTAAGTCTGAGGGCCACATCTGTAGAGCCCAGAGCTGGTCTTGGTTCTCCCTGATCCCATTCTCTACCCTGACCCAAACACCACTCTGCCAACTCTATTGCCTGGGCTTTCCAGTGCCCTGGCATGCAGTGCTGCCCACCTTTGGTGGTCTCACTCTCCCGAATGAGAAAGGCCCCTTGGGGGTTGCCTGATGAGAGAAGCTGCCTCTCTGCATCCTTCCTCCCGATCTTTCCAAAGTACCACCTGTTGAGAAAGACAGGCGAGAATAAGGTACACTCACTTGATTGGCAGGCACTCTGCCACTTGAGCCATGCCGCCAGCATGGTACACTCACTTTAAGCCCCAACTCAGCCTCCTGGGCAGTCATCCTCACAAGCCAAGCCTCAATTTCCTCACCTATAAAATGGGTACATCTGCTTCACGGTCTGGGCCTAAGGATCACAGAGGAGTGCCTGGCACACGGTAGGTGCCTAATAAAGATTAAGCTTCTCCTCTACCCATTGGGTGTCTCTTGAATTAAAATTGCAAGAACCCAGCCAGGTGTAGTGGTACACACCTATAATCCCAACACTTAAGAGACTGAGGCACAAGGATCATGAGTTCAAAGTCAGCCTCCTGAGCTATACCAGTGAAACCCTGTCTCAACAAAACAACAACAAAAAAAAAATTACTAGAACTCAGGTGCCTTGGGTCCCTTAGTCCTTGTCACACTCCCCATGTACTCAAGTTACAGATGAGGAACTTGAGGCTCAGAAGGGGAAGTGACTTGCCAACAAGGCTGGCCAATGTGCGCCACCTAAAATCCTCTGCCACTCACCCTACTTCTTTTCCCACCACCCCAAGCAATGATTCAGACATTTCCTCCACCCCCAGCCCTAAATTCATTCCTCCTCTGGTCCTCAGAACACCCTCTCTTACTTCTCTTTCTTTCTGACTGTTTCCAGCCCAGCTCTGACTGCTGCTTTTCCCCACAATCTCTTAAATGTGGACGCTGTCCTAAAGACTTCAACTTCAACCTCAGGCCTTACCCCCTCCTGCTTTCTCTTGGCGATTCCTTCTGGGATTGAACTGTAGCCTTAAACCAACTGTAAAAGTACCACAGGTACTATAGAAAACTTGCATGTTATTTGACCTTTTTTTTTTGGCCTTTTCTGTTTTGGTGAGACTGGGGTTTGAACTCAGGACTTTGTACTTGCAAAGCACGGACTCTATTGCTTGAGTCACACCTCCAGTCCATTCTACTGCTGGTTATTTTGGAAATGGAGGCTCTTGAACTATTTCCCCCAGGCTGGCCTCAAACTGTGATCCTCCCATTTCAGCCTCCCAAGTAGCTAGGATTACAAGCTTGAGCCACAACCCATGCCTGTGATCATTTGACTGAAATAAAAGAAGTAAAATTTTCAAATAAAGGGAGGTGAAAGTCTCAGTGAACTTTGGAATGGTCAATCCACACCTGGGTACTGGGCACGGTTTGAGGAACAGGGAGTGTCTAGGAGGGCAGACAGGAAGGGGAAGGACACATTCCCAAGTTTTTTCAAGCCCTGCCTTCACCCACCCCATGACATTAGCTACTTACTAACCAATATAACAGGAATAGCACTTTGTGGGAGGCTCTGCTCTATACATGTGTGTATTGGTTTACTTCTCTTAACAAGGCTATTATTAACTCCCATTACACAGATGAGGAAAGTGAGCTACTGAGTGGTTAGGCACCTTGTCTGAGGCCACATTGTAATGCTAGAAGACCCAAGCTGTCGCTGTAGGGTCTATGCTCTTAGCCACCACACTGCACTTAACCACAGCCCTGCACCAAGCACCTGTCAGATGTCATGATACCATGCCCAAGCTGTGGACCCAGGATGACTCCCCACCCCAAGCTTCCGGCCCTGGGTATAGTAAACCTTCCTCTCCTTCATGCTTCCTACCACCCTCCTGAGACTTAAGATCTCTGACACTGTGCTCCAGATCCTTCCCACTTCCCTCTGTGCCCCTACCCCATGAGCAGCATCCTCCCAGCTCTCCCTCCCACCAGCCTCTAACATGCCCACGTCTCTCCCTTCCCCAAAGGAAAGTCCTAAATCCCATCTTGCCTGGAGCATTCAGCTGTCTTCTCACTTTGCTTTCATTTGAAAATGCACTTCACACTTGGGCCTCCACTTCCTCCCCTCCCACACCCTCCCAGGCTCTGCTATCTGGCCTCTGCCCCACTTCCCATGAGACAGGAATCTTTCATCAAGGTTATCCCATTGCCAAGTCCAGGGGTTTGAGCCTCTGACATTCCCTCTCCTGTTTTCCTGAAAGTTCTTCTCACCCCTCTGGCTGTTCTGCATTGGTCTGTCCTAGTTTTCTTCACTTCTTCAATGGCTCCTCTTTTGGGGCAACTTTCCCCCAAATCTCTGTCTCATTGCCTCCCTCTTCCTTCACCCTCCTATGCAGTTTGAGTTAGCATTTCTACTCTGTACTACCTGCAGGGGCCACAGTGAACAAGCGAAGAAAACTTAGTACCAATTAGGGGCTAATGCAGACAAGGCCAGGCACAGGCAGGTGCAGTGCCTCTGACACAAGCAAAGTTTGGGCTAATGGCTGGCAGCCTGCTCCACCTGGCTGTTCCTCTCCAGGAACCTCAATCCAACAAGCCCCCCCAGAACCCACGTACTTGCTCCTGCATCCCCCATCTTAGCAACTAGCACTGCTCTACTCAGTTCCTCAAGATTTTGAGTCACTCTGGCGGTACTGGGGCTTGAACTCAGGGCCTTTCACTTGCTGAAGAGGCACTCTACTATTTGAGCCATACTTTGAGTCACCCTTGATTATTCCCACTCCCCATAGGTCAACGGCAAAGTCCAGGGAATTCCCATTCTGCAAAGTCTTTCCTTTATAGTGTGTGGTACACAAAAGATAGACGTTAGAAAGCTTTTAAAAGCCTGTCTCCTCATCTGTAAATTGGGGCTATCAATATTGTAATATCATTGTAAGAACCAAATGAATCAAGGCACTTCATTGATGCCAATGCTCTGCCACGGAGCTACACACCAGGCCCCTCCCCGCCTCCTTAAAGAATTAATTGCAAGCAATGCTTCCTTGCAGTTGTTTAGCTTCGTTTATACTAATCACACTCTGCCACGGAGCTGCACCCAGGCCCCACGTTTTTTATACAATAGACCTTATACAATTGAGATAAGGAGGCAGACTCAGAGTAAAGAAATGACTTGTCCAAGAGGTAGCCTTGGAGTTTGGACTCCAGGGTCTTGTCCACAGGGCTGGCCTCACCCTAGTCCCCACTCACTCCTCAGCCTGGATGGAGTCCACAGGCGCCACGTAGTTGCTGGGAATATAGCCGGTATGTCCAGAGCTGAGAGACCGAGCCTCCCACCAGTCACCTTCACTGTAGGTACAGAACAGGGGGTGGTCAGTAGCAACTCCAACCTCTGGGCAGCCAGAGGCCTGCAGGCCACACAGAAGGTCAGCTGGAGACTGGCCCTGTCACCCCTGACCTTGGACATCCATGGGGTTAGGAGGAAGGAAGGTGTCTTCTCTGCCATAGCCACTGTAACTGCCCCGAAGGGCTCCTCCCTGAAGAAGGAATAAATTTGAGGATGCCTGCACCTTCTGACTTCTTCCTCTCACTTCTCCACTGGGCTGGAGTTTGGGGCTACAGTGGACAACTGACTAGGATACTTCCCTGCTGAAAACCCCCCAAGGGCTACATATTTCCTTCTGGATTAAATCCAGACTCCTCAGCACAACTTAAAAAGCCTTCTGGATTCTGCCCAGCCTACCTTTCTGGCCTCTACTCGATCCATTCTGCATCACATTAGTTTTATTTTAATTTTTTTCCTGCAGTGATGGAGATGGAACCCAGGGCCTCACTCTACCACTGAGCCATACTCCAAGTCCTGAATCTCATTTTTTTATGATCCACCTACACAGAATCACTTGGTGGTTTCCAGAAGTCATCATTTATTCTCATCCTCTCTTTTCTCACCTCTTCCTTTGCTGTCTAGTCATTTTTCTAGTCTTGGCTTAAAAATCTCCTCCAGGAAGCCTGCCCCTTCACCACAGCTCCAGGAACCATGTTTGTTGTTCTTTCTGTGCCCATAATTCCTCACGTTCCCTCTCCCCACATAGCAGTCATCACTCAGGGTTTTTGTTGTTGTGTTTGTTTGCTTTGTGGTGCTCTGGCTCAAACCCAAGTCTCTGTGCATGCTAGGCAAATGCTTTACCACTGAGCTAGGCCTTTAGCCCTCATTCAGGGTTTCTATTATCATGCATATGTGTACCCAACTAGGTTGGAGCTTTCTAACCCAGCTTTCTGGATCCTGCTCCCAGTCCAGGCCATGCCCAGAGCTGAGCCGAGAGAGGTGACCTGGTCACTTACCTATTGTTCAGAATGTGAAGCTTCTCCCCTTTGGTGAAGGTAAGGTCATCCTCTGTCCGGGCCTCATAGTCATACAGGGCGATGAACAGGGTCACCCCAGTGCCTGCAGAGTTGGGGCTACTCAGCCAAATAGGGCATAGGATGGGGCGCCAAGGGGGCTGCATGCCCAGAATCTAGTTCCCCAGTCAGGTGCTGTTCCTCCCCACTGACACACAGATTCAGTCTCCTTTGGAGTCCGGTGGATTTCTAATTGAATTTCACAGTTTGGCCCCCAGGGATATTGCACACATAGCTTCATGCCCTTTTCATTCTGGAAGCCTCTTAAGTTGTCTACTCCTTCTCTTCCCCACCAAGAAGACTTCCCACCTGGCAAGTGACACCTAAGAGACCAGATGGATCTCTTTGCCACCAGCATCTGCCATCGGTGATAACAGGAGCTCAGCCTGGGCTTTCAGGGTAGGATTGTGCACACAATCCTCAGCTTGTGTGAGCTGAAAAGCGGAGCTGTGGCTCCCACATCATTCTGGAGGCTTCCAAGAAGTCCCCATCTCCTCTTCCCCCAATCTCTCCCAGGAGTCAGACAGCCCTTGCCTCTAGCCTTCAAGACCCACCTGAGATGCCCTTGATGGTACCAGCATCAAGGAAGGCAGGGCTGGTGGGCCGAGAGGAGAAGTTGCTGTAGTTGGGGATGTGGGCAAAGGAGGATGCAGGCCGGGCCTGAGTGGGGTCAGGGCCATATCGATCTGAGGCTCCATAGCTCCTGAAGTCTCCTTCTAAGCCGGCATCCTCCTTGGGCGCTGGCTCCAACTTCTTGCAGAACACGCAGCCCATTCCAGGTACCCTGCTGAAGAATGGGGACATGCCTCATTCGGGAGGCATGTGGCAGGCACCCCATCCTAGGCACACATGCATGCACGTGCGCACACACACACACAGATGAGAATCATCCACTCAGGGGCTTGGACTAAGGTCTTCCCAAGTAAGGTCACCCTGGAGTCTGCCTCCCAGCTGCTTTGGTGTTTGGAAAGAGGATGTGTCTCCGTAGAGCTTCTTGTCTCCCCATCTGTTCAAGTCTGCATCCCTGGGGCTGTTTTTTGTGTTTTTGGCGGCATTGGAGTTTGAACTCAGGGCCTCCTCCCACTTGCTAGGCAGGCACTCTTACCGCATGAGCCACTCTGCCAGCTCAAAAATCTCAACATTTTCAGCTTTGTTTTTGAGACAGGATCTCGCTATGTAGCAAAAGCTGGCCTCACACTTGACATCCTCTTACCTCAGCCTCCAAAGTGCTCTGATTACAGATGTGCCCCACCATACCTGACTGAGTCTCCACTTTTTTTTGGGGGGGAGCATTGTTTGAACTCAGGGTCTCACACTTGCTAGGCAGACATTCTTACCACTTAAGCCACTCTGCCAGCCCCCTGGGGCTGGTTTTCAACATTGGGATCTTGCTGTGTTTTATTTATTTATTTATTTATTTATTTTGGGAAGTACTGGGATTTGAACTCAGGGCTTCACACTTGCAAGGCAGGCACTCTACCACTTGAGCCACTCTGCCAGTCCTTATTTATTTTTGCCTCCTATTGCTTTGATATGTTTTTTATGGGTCTGCATCTTCTTCAGGTACTTGTGCATGTGTGTCTTTGTGTGTCTCTAAATGTGTTTGTGTGTGTGCAGCTCTTGGTGTCTGTGTGTGCAGGCAATGTGTGTGCACAGAAGTATGTGTTAATGTTTGTGCATGTGTTTAGTTATGTGTGCATGTCTCCATGAGTGTGTGTGTGTTTCTGTGGGAGTGTATCTGTGTATCTGTGTGTGGTGTGTGTGTGTGTGTGTGTGTGGTGTGTGTGCCTGCAAGTCCGTGTGAGTAGGTGTCTTTGGTCTGTGCAACTATGGCCATGTATGCAGTTCTGTGTGGAAGCACATGTGTCTATCTCTGTGTGTATCCATGTGAGTACATGTGTATGTGTGGGTATGTGTGAGTCTCCATGTGGATGCGTGTCTGTGTATCTGCATGGGTTTGTATGTGAGTGTGTGAGAGAGCTGCGAGCCTGCACCTGGAGAATCCCTGCAGAGGGGGATCAAGGCCATTTCCTGTCGTGGGTCCAGACTCTGGCCTCTCAGGCTGCCTCATTCTCTGACTCCCCCATTCGTTACCTAGCAACAGGGCCCTTGTAGGAGGAGGGGGCTGTGAGCAGGCATTGTGGGGCGCAGAAAGGCCACCCCCACCCCATTTCCTGACCTTGAAAACCTCAGTCCACCCCCCACTCCACTCACCCCTCAGGCCCCTACTCCTGGGTCAGTAGAGCTGCTGCATGGTCCTTTGAGAGGGGCAGGAGACCTGAAGGCAACACAGAAGGACATGAAAGACGATGGCCCTGCCAATGTTCCTGCCAGCCAGCTGCCCAGCTCCTGCCCTCTTCAGGAAGCCAGAGCCCTGGGCTCTGCCCCAGCATGACTTCTGCCTTCATTTTCCTTCCTACCACCCCTGGCACACTTACACATCCACCCTCACTCAGGACACACCACCCACTCCAGCTCTCTCACACCCATTCCCACCTGACACCACCATATGAACACACACCCAGCAAAGTCACACAACACTCACAGCATATGCTCGCGTGAGTGTGCTTGCCAGCATCACCGCACACAAGTGTGGCTCTGAACAAGACCAAGCACAGATGTACGACAGTGCACAACACAGCCGAATACACACGTAGACCTAGACGTGTACATTTGGCTGCCACTCAGGTTAACAGACCCGCATACTCAGACACGCATATTTTTGTATTTAAACCCAATCTCTTAAACTGCATTTTCATCAAGGCATGCTCAGCTCATTCACCGCTCCCCCTCCCCAAGTTGCTGTCTCCTAAAAATAAGCCTTTTCCGGGAACCCCACTCTACTACCCAGTCTGGAACAGACCCAGGGTCACCTCTGGTGCCAGGGTGAAAGTGAACACCTACCTCCAGAGTACCACTCCTATCCCCACATCAGAGAAACATCCAGGTCAGAGCTGGGGCCATCAGAGTTTCCTGAGGAGCTCCCCAAATGAGCCAAGCCTTCCCTGGTAGTTGTGTTCTCTAAGCAACTCAGCAGGCAGATCATTGAGCAAGGGTCCCCACCCCTCTTCCCCTCCCCCAGCTCAGAAACTCTGCCATTGCAACACTCAGAGAGGAACTGGTTGGGGAGAGGGCTCGGTTTCCTAAGATGCGAGAGCAATGGAGAATTGTAGGGTGGGGCCAACCCAGTGAACCCCAGTTTCCCCAAGAAGGACACTGAAGATTCTGGGGATGGGGCCTCCAACTTGCTTCTCTCAGACCCCCCTGGCCAGTTCCTCCTATGGATATCCTCCTCCTTTTCTCTCTAGGTTCTGACCTTCCTAGCACAGCATACTCACCTCTTCCAGGAAGCCTTCCTAGATCTAATGGGTCCAGTTGCCTGTAGTTGGTTCTGTCACATCAGAGTCCTGACCTGCATCCTAGCCGCCCACCCCCAGCCCCCAGCCCCTCTCACCCTTTACTGGAACTATTCTTCTGTGTGGGGTTAGGGGGTGACACCCATGTGTGGTGAACTGAGGCGGGCTGTGGTGAGAGGCCTGCCCTAAAATAGCCCCTGTTCACTAGGCCTAGCTGAGATCTCACTTCAGGACCCCTCCCGTGGGGGTGGAACCAGTGTGTCTGATAGGCCCCAGGATGCCAGGCTGGTTAGGGCCAGGGCAGAGTAAAGAAGGGGAGGCGGTACCCATGGCCGCGCTGAAGGGATTTCAGGGAAGGTGAGAGGAGAGGTGAGGTTAATATGAAAGCAAGGTTACAGGGTGAGAATAAAGGTCTTCTCACAGGAAGAGAAACACATACCTCAAACAGTACACTGAGCTATGCTTGGATCCACACAGGTCCCCAAAACAGTTTTGTCATATAGTTTTTCTCAGCAGAACACAAGAATAACAGGTAGGGAATTTACAGCATTTACTATGTGCCTGCCACGAAATTAAGCACTTCTCCCATACCACTTCATTTTATCCTCACAACCACCCTGTTCTTTAAGTATTATTATTACTGTTGGGTGTGACTAGGGTTGGAATTCAAGGCTTCACACTTGCAAAGCAGGCACTCAACCATTTGAGCCACACCCCCTGTCCATTTGCTCTGGATATTTTGTAGATGGGGATCTCACGAACTATTTGCCTGGGCTGGCATTGAACTGTGATCTTCCTGTTCTCAGGCTCCCAGGGAGCAAGGATTATAGCCATGAGACCCTGCGTTTCCCTATGTAGCCCAGGCTGGCCTAAAACTTGAGTTCCTCTTGCCTCAGTTTCCCAATCCCATGCTGGGATTACAGGCATGCATGTCCAGCTTCCTCATTCTTTCTGATCACTGAGTGGCATTCCATTGTATAGATGGTCTGTACTCTACCTAATCTAACCCCTTACCAATGGACACTTGGGTGGTTCCTATCTTTTCCTACCACCAACAGTGCTGCAGAGAATAACCATACATACATCATTTCTCACTCATGCAAGAAAATCTGAAGGAGCTGAGTGCCGGTATTATTACTGATGAGACACCTGAGGCACAGAAAGGCTTAGACACTTGCTCACAGTAACACAGATAATGTATCCTGGCATTTGGATCCAGAATCTGAGCTCTCAACCACTCCTCTCCATTGTCTGTCACAGAGGTAGGTGGACAATTGCAGGCATTCCTGAAAGCATTTGCAAGTGCAGAGCCCTCAGAGTGATACACAAGGATACACATATCCCTCCCCCTTGAGATACAGCCCCACACAGAGCTCTCCTCTACAGGGAGCTCTCCACATACAGGAGCAATGTTAGCACTTCCAGTAACACCCCAGTGCATACTGCCACTGCCACACCATATCTACATCCATCCCAGGGAAACCCCACATTTTCCATGCTTGGTGTTGGGGCAGGGTCTGAGACTGGCAGCCTCTGAGATAGAGGCTGAAAGCTTTGTGGCTGGGGATAAGGCAGGGCTGACAGTGTGGCAGCGGAGGTAAGCAGCTCTCTGGCTTTACCACCGCCCACCCCCGAATTGAGGGACCCAAGTCTCCAGCTGGCTGGGCTCTCTGGCACCAATATACTGAGGAGCAAAAGGATGTGGAACACAGGACATCCTACATAGTATCTGCATGACCCTATATAGGGAGGGGTCACACTGCATGTGACTGTGTTCTTCAGAGGACAGAAAGAGGTAGGGAGAGGCAACAAAAAGAGAGAGAGACAAAGGTACAAGCTGAGAGATATAGAGACATAAAGAAACACAGAAGGGGGCTGGCGGAGTGGCTCAAGTGGTACAGTGCCTAGCAAGCATGAAGCCCTGAGTTTAAATTCTAGTACTGCCAAAAAAAAAAAGAGAAAGAAACACAGAAGGGAGAGACAGAGACAAATAGAAACATAGCGTGGCCTGCTAGTAAACTGACTCTCAGAAAAATAAAGCAAACAACCCACAAGGTCCTGATTAGTATAATTTGCTGATTTACATAGTGTAAATATCCCCACCATAGCTGATTTAATATCAAAGTGACTTCTTGAAGGCTGGACTGGGAAGGGATGGGTAAAATCAACTTCCCTGAGCCAGTGGCAACATGTCACCACCAGAAAGAAACTGAGGCAAAGAGACAGGCTGAAACAGAACTGTGAGGTAAAGAAGAGCAACAAAAGCCAGGTGTGGTGGTACACACCTATAATCCCAGTACTTGGGAGATAGAAGCAGGAGGATCACGAGCTCCAGGCCAGCCTGAGCTACACTGCAAGACTGTCTCAAAAAACCAGGGTTCAGTAGTAGAGCACTTGCCTAGCATACACAAGGCCCTGAGTTTGAGGGTTT